TAGTGTTGTCTAGTAATTAGACAGAGTGACTAATTAGGGATAAACAGGCATCTACTGATGACCAAGGTGCAGCGATTTACAGGGTATCCTATTTTTAGACTTACCCTATAAATTTCACCACTGTATGACCCTGTATGCCATACCCTGGGTATGGCGAATTACAGATCAAACTGTAACTAACTCAGAACACCAAATTTGACTGTGCGATTTTAGATTGTACACTGAATTGCGATTTACCAGGGACTGACAAAATTGAATCTGACGGACAAAATCGAAGTTATGACTGACCCTAGTCTAGCCTAGCTTCATCTATGGCAGCACAAAATTCTAATTTGCATTATTAGTGACAACAGGACCCTGAACCATCCAATTCACTATACAGGATGAATCGCAACACTTTAAAGCAGTCCCATATGAAAGTTGAGTCAGGAAAGAGGTCAAACAAGGTTAGTAGAAGTCAAAGAAGGTAGGTAAGGGAAATTGGCTATGGTTGTCATGCAGTCTGAATTTCGATTTTCAACTGTCAACTGACTGACTGACCAAATTTCGCTAAACTAAAAATAGCCCCAAAATCGCCATACAGAGTACAGTACGGAACACACTTCAGGAATATCTCTGAAGAAAGAGGAGTGTAACCCCTCTCTATGGCTGTTTGCTCAGACCCATCTCGCCAGTTTCACCTCTTGATGGTTCCCAGTGTTCCCACGTACCAAACTTCCTGAAACTTGGTGATCCACCTCTTGATGGTTCCCAGTGTTCCCACTTACCAAACTTCCTGAAACTTGGTGATCCAGTAGATTTCCTTGAGGCGCTTCACCCTCAACTGACAGATACACTGAATCTGGACTCCCAGATGCTGATAATTGAGAAACTCGGTGCAGTGCCACTTTGCCCTGTACTGCACTGCTTGGAAATTGGGGATCCTAACCCAATTCCAAAATCGCAACACCCTGGGATCACTTTCTTACCAATCGCCAGTATCCAGACGAGTTGCCGGGCTAAAAATAGCCTCCTCAGAGCCTCCCAGGCCTTTGAGCATCAATCGCCACCCACTCATGCATAACCCGAGACAGGAGTGTGTCACACTCTATTCAATACCTCTCGCCACACACTCACCACCACCAACCTCACTGAGAACAACCCTGAAGATGACAAATCGCCATGAAACTCAACTCCATTATCTTGCCAGATGATGGTGGTTGCTCCAACTCATCAATCACACCACTGTCTGGATCCAATCGCTTCGATACCAACTGTTATGAACCTGGTTGCTTGTTGTCAAATGACCAACACTCGCTCACATAGACTTCCAGGTATGCCCATACATACACAAAAGGAAGGGGAGAGGATGGCAGAATCACACCGCACAGGGAGAGAGAAACACAGTGGAAGACTTGACCACACGATATGAAAGAAAGCACTGACAGTGCAATTCGCTCCACAGAATCCTCGCAACCAGTCACAAAGGAAAGCTGAGTAGATCACATCCAAGAAACAATGAAGCAATGATAGTCCAAATCCAGTGCCAACACTATTTATTAAACTCAAGAGTCTGGAATGGCCAGGATAGTCCCAGAACTATGGTGCGCTGCTCAGAAATGAGCAACGCTTCACTCCTCACACCCTAAGTAACCGCTAAAACACCCCTGAGCCCCTGAAACCACCAGCGCCAGCCAGATACTACTCCCAAAGGGAAGCTCTACCCTGAAACAGGCCTCTGAGGCCAAGCGCTTCTCAGAGAATGAAGAAGAAGACCAGCGCCACAGTGTCTGATGATGATGAAGTGTCAGATGACTTCCTGGGTGGAAGTCTACAGCAGAGCCACCTCTCCTGACAAGATGATCTCTGAGGAAGAAGCTGCAGCTATGTCTGACTCTGCAGTGCCACACACCCAGTAACCCTACTTCTGAGGAGGGTTCAGCAGGGCACCAACTTCTCGTGCCTCCAGCAGACTTCAGATAGCTTGAACCTCTGGCAGCCCTGCGTGCTGTCAGAGTACAGTGCCAGTCCCAGCTATGGCTGACACTCCGCAGTTTCAGCTACCACTTCCAGTTCACGCGTTGTGTGGCAGCGATGTACATGGTACTGACTGCCAAAAGCCCTGAACCAATTTCTACATCCTATCTATACTCTACCCTAGCCTAGACACGACCTAGACCGGACTGGTAGGACTGACCGGTACCGTTTCAGTTTCGGCCTCTAGGGCCTCTCCCTACCCGGGTATAGGCTATAGGACCGTCTAGCAGCTTAGGCCCGTTGGGACTATGTGTCCTAGGGGTAGCTCGGGCCTGCTATTCGCAGTTAGGGTAGCTGTAGGAAATTCTGCTTAGTACGGGTCTATATTTTCCCGAATATGCAGATATGTCCCTCTCGAAATTTCCTTAGGCGGGTCTCTCGGTTAGCCCTCAGTTAAATAAATTTACGAATCTGACCTACCTATAGTACAGCCTCAACTCAACGGGCTACAGACCCCCAGAACCAGCAAGTCATTGCATATAGTTGGCGTGCTGCTTCCCTGCAATGTGTTTGAGAGCTGCCTCTTTTGCGGCGAGGAGGCCCTCACTAATTATTTGCAGGGGCCTTTCAGATTACCCGCAAGGGTTTTGTGATCAATGTCAAAGGGCTATTTGTTTGTTCTCTCTCTCTCTCTCTCTCTCTCTCTCTCTCTCTCTCTCTTGTCTCTCTCTCTCTCTCTTGTCTCTCTCTCTCTCTCTCTCTCTCTCTCTCTCTCTCTCTCTCTCTCTCTCTCTCTCTCTCTTGCGCATCGGGGTTATTAAGGGTTCAGGACCGATNTCTCTCTCTCTCTCTCTCTCTCTCTCTCTCTCTCTCTCTCTCTCTCTCTCTTGCGCATCGGGGTTATTAAGGGTTCAGGACCGATTTTTTTTATTTTTTATTTTTTTTGTGAGGTGCCGACGACCCCTGACAGGCAGGTGCCAACCAGCTGACAGGTCGGCTGGTCGGCAGCCGACCAGTCAGGGTCCACCAACCGTCGGGGTGTGCAACATTGGAGGAGTCCAATATTTAGTGTACTGGGGCCAGAAAGTGTCCAAACGCATGTAGAATGTTCCATGGTCTGCATTCTGTCTTTGCTGTTTGCTGTGTTTCATTCCACTTTTGATTTATGATTGGCCAGAGAACAAGCATTGAAGTTTTTTATTAAACATTCCATGTATCTTTCGATTGAACGAACGCCAGCAGTGTGGCAAATCAGTTGACATCCTTGCACTCTTTTCATAATTAGCTTGATGGCTTGGCTTTCGTTCATGGTGTTTCCATTAGCAGAGTTATCTTGGGAGTGTACACTTTTGATCAGGAAGAATGAGGATTTTCCAAATGCATGACATCAGATCATGTGTGGCCTCTGTTTGGAGATTTACGAGAAGAGTAGCATCGGCTTTACTGGCCCTCAAACGGGCAAGTCCTGATGCCGATTTGCCACTTTTAAGTCCCTTTGTGCCAAGGAGCCGTATGAACGAAGTGATTGTGTAGAATGAACTGGAAAGGGCTGGTCCCCAGTTGGACCGGGGGCCCCTCCCCCAAACGGGAGCCTGCTAGTCGGACCGGGGTGTTGACCGGCCAGGCAGACCTGCGGTCGAACCCAGCGCATCACGCTTGAGGGGGGTGTACCGGAGAGTAAAGGGCACCCTGCCATTGCCCAGCCCACTGGAGGCCACTGCCTCCTAACGAAATAAAAACGTGGCCTTTTGGACCCCACTTCTTGAAAAGAACGAGCAGATATCTCTCTGCTGCTGATCTTCACAGATCAGCGGAAAAAAATCACCACCTTTTCTTTTCAAGATGCAGGGTCCAATAGGCCCCGTTTTTCAATTTGGCGTCATGTAGTCCAGTGGACCACAGACCAGATGTAAATGGCACATCCTGATGCACGTCCACTCCAAGCCATAAGTAAAAGAAAGAATATGCCTTTGAGGTGACTTTGTTTAGATGATATGCTTCTGCAATCTCTATGTTCTGGGTAAAGAGTTATGGGTTTGGCTTGTGGCTCGTGAAGTCAGAGTAACAAAGCTGTCTGAGGTGCAAGCCCAAGAATGGACCTGGCTCCACTACTTGTATCTGTACAGACTGGCAGGCAAGAAACTTTCGGACTGATGACCCATCGTATGTAGAAACAAACAAACACAAAATGCTCTGCCTCCACGGGCTGAAACCTGAACCCACAACTTTTTGGACGTCGGGCTATACTCTGGAAGAGCGATAAGTTTTGGCAAGGACGATCTCTCAACATATCTCGTTCAGCTTCTGGGTGCTGGCGACTGATGGTATAGTCCACGACATCTTATGGAGTCGAATTGAAATTTCTGGGCCACAGGGTGTCGGACAAGCAACCTTGTTTACTCGGTCCCTTCCCCTGAGAGCCATACCTCCCTTAGTATCCCAATACTACTTCCTCCACCCCCCCCCCCC